CCCTCGCACGCCCCCAGGCCCCGGCCGGCAAGCGCTACTTCAGCCACAGCCGCCTCGCCGACATCCTCGGCCACTACCCCCTCAAGCCCGGCCTGTCTGAGGCGGCGGAGGCGGCGGAGCGCGCGGCCAGGGAGGCGCTGCTGGATATGCTGCTGGGGGTGCTCGACCCCGACCCCCGCACGCGCTGGACGCCGCGCCAGGCGATGCGGCACCCGTTTATAACCGGGGAGCCGTTCCGCGGGCCTTACCAGCCGGCCGCGGACGCCCCGCCCGCGCCGGCGCCGGCGGCGGGGCCGGCGCAGGGGGCGCACCACCACCACCACCATCACCAGCATCACCACGGCAGCAGCAGCGGCGGCAGCGGCGCGGCCGCTGTCCAGGCGGCGGGCGCGGGCGGCGCGTCGGCGCGCACTGGCCCGGTGCCCGTCCAGCGGCCGCGCCAGGTCAGCGTGCCCCAGCACCAGCAACAGGTGCTGCAGCAGCCCCACCACCACGCCGCGCCCCAGCCGGGCCACCTCGCGCCGCCGCAGCTCGCGGCCCCACCCAGCTCGTTCCCTGGCGGCCCCCTGCTGGGCGGCTCCTGGAGCGCAGGCCCAGGCGCCCCCGGCGGCGCCGGCGAGACCCACGCCGCCGCCGCCGCGCCGCAGCTGTCGCCGGCCGCTGCGCAGGCGGCGCACGCGCGCGCGCACGCTATCGCGATGGCGGCACTGCAGCAGCTGAGCCCACAGTTTGGGAGCCTAGGGGCTCGGGGGCCTGGCAGCTTCGGAGCCATGCCTTCCGCGGCCGCGCTGCTGGGCACGAGCTACAGTGTCGGCCCCGGCGCAGCCGCCGCTGCGGCCGCCCACGCCGCGGCCGCGCAGGCCGCTGTGCACGCGCAGGCGCAGGCCGCGCAGGCGGCGCAGGGCCCCGCGGCGGCGAGCCCGGCGGCGGCAGCGCAGCAGCGGCCGGGGCTGCCGCGGGTGGGCAGCGGGGGCGGCGACGCCCAGGGCGGGCTGGCTGCGGCGGGGCTGGCGGTCGGCAGCTTCCAGCAGCAGCACCAACAACTGCAGCAGTTCTTGTTGGCTCAGGCGCAGGCCCAAGCGCAAGCTCAGGCGCAGGTCCACGCGCAGGCGAGCCTCACTGGCGCAAGCCCCGCCCGCTGGGGCAGCGTTGGCGGCGGCGGCGGCGCCGCAGCTGCCGTCGGGCCTGGCAGCGCCACGAGCGGGCGCGCCAGCAGCGGCGGCACGCGCACCGCCGGCGCGTCGCCGCTGCCCGCCAGCCTTGGCAGCGGCCAGGGCTTCGCAGTTCCCGGCCCCCTCTTTGCCGGCGCCAGCCCCGCAGCGCACCTCAGCAGCATGGCGGCCGCCATGGCGGCTGTGAGCGTCCACAGGCAGCAACAACGCGCGCAGCACCAACAGCAGGCGGCGGCGGCGGCCGCCGCCGCCGTCGCGGGCAGTGTGGGCGCGGATGCGTTCCCGGGCGCCCATTCTTGGGCCCAGCAGTCGCCGGCGGCGCTGCAGCAGCGCGTGCGGCAGGCGATGGACGCCGCAGCGGCGGCGATGGGGCAGGCGTCAGGCCCGCAGCCGCAGCCCAGCGCGGCCGCGGCGGCTGCGGCGGCATTTGGCTATGGCGGCGCGGGTGGCGCGGCGGCGGCGATGCAGGCGGCCGCCAGCGCTGGGGGCTTTCCCCAGCTCGGGCAGTCTCTGGGACCTGGCGCCTCCCTGCTTCTGAGCATGAGCTTTCAACAGCAGCAGCAGCAGAGGTACATGCAACAGCAACAGCAGCAGCTGCAAGCGCAGCAGGCGGCCGTAGCCGCCGCCCAGCTGCAGCAGCAACAGCAGCAGGCGGCAGCGGCCGCCGCCGCAGCGGCCGCAGCGCAGGCCCACCCGCCTCTGGCCCCGGCTGTCGTCGGCGGCGCCGTGCCTATGGCGCTGTCTGGCGGGTCCGGGGACACGGCCGGCGGGGACGGCGGCAGCACGGCGCGCTCTCAGCCGGGCTACGACGGCGCCGGCATGATGCAGGTGTGCGCAGCCCTTTTCGAGGGCTCCCGCCCAGCCCCTACCCAATTCGCAAGCTTCGCCACCGGCCTCTACAACCCCACCGTTGTCTCGACGCCTGCGCTCCCCGCCATGGCCGCCGCTGGCACGCACACACCCACGTTGTCCGTATCGCTCACCCCCGCTTGCCCTCCTATTCCCCTCCTGTCGTGCTCCCCCAGGACGAGCCCGCGTCCGCCCCCAGCCCCGGGGACTGGGACCCGCTGTACTCTGACGACCAGCTGCTGGACGAGGAGCGCGGCCAGCAGCAGGCCGCAGCGGCAGCGGCAGCGGCGGCGGCGGCGGCGGCGGCGGCCCAGTTGGTGCAGCAACAGCAGGCGCAGCAGCAGCAGCAGCAGCAGCAGCAGCAGCAGCAGCAGCATCAGCACCAACAGCAGCAGCAGCAGCAGCAGCAGCAGCAGGCGCAGCAGCAGCAGCTGCTCCTTCTCTTGCAGCAGCAACAGCAGCAGGCGCAGGCGCAGGCGCAGCAGCAGGCGGTGCAGCAGCAGCAGCAGCAGCAGCAGCAGCAGCAGCAGCAGCAGCAGGCGCTGCTGCAGCAGCAAGCGCTGCAGCAGCAGCTGGCGCTGCAGGCGGCTGCCGCAATGCAGCAGCAGCAGCAGCAGCAACGGCAGCAGCAGCGCGCTGCAACTCAGCGCAGCAGTGGCGGCGATGCGCTCGGCGGCTTCATTGCAGGCGCGGCTCAGGGCCGCAGCGACGCGGGCGTGCCGGCGGGCGGCGAGGCGGGGCGCTTCATCCCCATTGTGGCTGACCGCGCGCAGGCGCCCTCTGATGCCGCCATGCCCGAGGACGCTGAGCTGGCGCTGACACTGGGACCCAACTGGTCGTACCGCCCCGCCCCCGCCGCGCCCCTCGCGTTTGGCGCGGCCGGCAGCAGCGGCGGCAGCGGCATCGCTGCAGCATCTGGCGCCCTGTTTGAGCTCGGCAGCTTCGGCGTCGGTGGCGCCGGTTTGCCACCGGGCGGGGGTGGCGCGGCGGCCGAGGCTGCCGCTGCTGGTGCTGCTGCTGCGGCGGCAGCGACGGCGGCAGCGACGGCAGCCCGTTCGGTGCCGCAGACAGACCCTGCCGCTTGGGCCGGTGGTTTGGGGCTGCTGGGCACGACGCCAGGCACAGCCAGCACGAACGTGCTGCGACGCCAGCTGCAGCAGCGGCTGCAGCAGCAGCAGCAATTGCAGCAGCAGCAGCAGTTGCAGCAGCTCCAGCAACAGCAGCAGCAACAGCAGTTGCAGCAGCAGCTGCACCTCCAACAGCACCTACAGCAGCCGCAGCAACAGTGGTGGCCGGGAAGCGGCCACGGGTAGGCCTGACTGAGACGTCAAGTCGTCCAGTCAGCAGTTGTTTTGGGTGGGTCATCAACCAGGCAGGGTTGTGCAGGACTTGAATCTGTTTCTTGTGTCGTTGGCCGCACGCTTCGCATGCACTGTTGGTTTGCGCTGCGGCGGGCAAAACAGGTGGGGTTGCCGCACCACCCTGGGAATGGCAGATTAAGTGGGGGTTGGGATTCAGGCGGTGCGCGGGCCGGCGACAGCACCACCCCCTTGCTATCGCGTTCACATCCGTAGAAATGCGATTTCCGGTGATTGGGTTGCGTTGTGGAGTAAAAGAATGAACCTGGGATGGCGGTAGGCGTTTCGGGGGTAGGGAAGGCGGTCTCGTAACCAGCACCTGCAGGCGTGAGCACGTGCTCAGTCTTGTGTTGGGCACAGATGGCCCCACTATTGTTTTGCAGGTTTGTCCCCGCACAAAATGTTGGCAATCTACACGCTGGTTGTGCTCGTGTGCATGTCGAGCGGCAAGCTGCACTTGTGCAGCTGGTGTGCAGCTTCCTGTGTGCAGCCGCACCTTTCCCACACGTGATTCTTGGCGTGGTGATAAAGTTTTTATCTGGAATAGCATAGTAACTGCGTTTGTACCTCATAGAGTACAGCGCTTGAACAATAGATCGCCTGCCATGAAGGCCAGGACGCTGCAGATTTTGTGGCATGATAAGAGTCCGGTATTATCCGCAGATTTTCACCCGGACGGATACCTGGCGACGGCCGGGGCTGACAAGGAGATCAAGGCGCGTGAATCAAGGCACTTCAAACGCGCCTCGGCTGTTGCGCGCCTCTTGCTCGTAGATAGGCTGTGGCTGAAATGAGCGATTGATTTCAATCACAGATCTGGGAGCTGGGCTGCGATGAGGACGGTTGGCCCACGGCACGGTACTTGTCGCGCCTCGCCGCTCACGCCAAGACAGTGAATTGCGTCCGCTTCTCCCCCGACGGTGCGCGCGCCGTGGGGCCGGCGGCAGGGGCAGTGGATGCGCTCTCGCTTGCATTCGCACCGCGCGGCTTCACGCTGCGGTCCTGGCGCGGGCCACACCGGCGCCCTAGCCTGATGCATGTGTCTCTCATGCCTGTGCCCCCACCTGGCCACTCACCGACGACGGCATCGCCGCCGCCGCCACCACCGCCACCGCCGCCGCCGCCGCAGGCAGCTGCCTGGCCTCCGCGGGCGACCAGGGGGAGGTCCTGGTCTGGCGCCCCGCGCCCCCCGGCGCTGCGCCGCCGCCGCGCGCGTTCGGCGAGGCGCCGCCCCCGCCCCCGCCCCCGCCCGCCGGCGACGCCGACGCGGACGGCGGCGCCGAGGGGCCGGCGTGGCGGGCGGTCGGGGCGCTGAAGGGGCACCACGATGACGTCATGGACGTGGCATGGTCGCCCGATGGCGCGGCGCTGATGAGCGGATGCGTCATGAATGAAGTCCTGGTGTTTGACGTTGACTCGAGGAAGCAAGTGGTGGGCGCACCCGATCCATGGGGTGGGGTAAGGGGGGAGGAGGATGGAGTCTTGGCTGCCCAGGCGTCTCCACATGATAGAGTGTGATTGGAGGACGCAGCCGTGCATGCGGTGCGAGGGCAGAGGCGCCTCACCTTGTGGCAGGCCCGGCCAAACGAGGGGTGCCCCCTTGCCAGCCGTGCGGGTGGCTGCGGCGCGCCGGCGGCGCCGAACGCCGCCTTTCCACTCCCCCCCCCCTCAGGTGCGCCTGGAGGGGCACCGCCACTACGTACAGGGCGTGGCCTGGGACCCCCTGGGGCGCTTCACAGTCAGCCTCTCCGCCGACCGCACGGCCCGCGTCCACGCGCCGAGGCCGCCGCCCGCGGGTGAGCGGCGGAGAGGGGAGGGCTGTGTTGGGGGTGGGATGGCGTTGGCTGAGGCCGCTGATTATCATGGCCGCGCGGGGAGGAGGGCGGGCAGGGTGCGATTGCTGGGGTCGGTTGCCAATCGCCCTAGCGAGAGGCTGCAGGTGGGGAAGTCGCGCACATGTGTGGGAGTCTCTCAGGGTCCTGTCCGGCTGTGACTAAACCCCTGTGACGCCACCTCCTGGGTTGAACTCGCACCCCTGCAGCCGGCAAGAAGGCCCAGCAGCAGCAGCTGCAGCAGCTGCAGCGCGGCCCCGCACCGTGCAGCGCCACCGCGCGCGACCTCGCGCACGTCTGCTCCATCGCGAAGCGCGCGCTGCCGCCCGCGCGGCCGCGCGGCGGCGAAGGAGACGTCGCGGCGGCGCGCGACCAGCAGCAGCAGCAGCAGCAGCAACAGCAGCAACAACCCAGCGAGCAGCAGCACGGCGAGGGCGGCGGCGGCGATGGCGGCGGCGGCGCCGGCAGCGGGGCGGCGGAGCCGGGGGAGGCGGGGGCCGACGCCGCAGGCGCGGCGGCGGGCGCGGCGGCGCCGCTGGCGCCCAAGGCGGCGGCCCCCCAGCAGCAGCACCTGTTCCAGGACGAGTCCCTCTCAACATTCTTCAGGCGCATGGGCTGGTCGCCTGACGGTGAGCGGCCCCCGAGGTCCGGCACAGCACCGCTGTCGCGCCCCTCCGCTATCCAGCAAGCCAGTCGAGTCGTGAGGGGCGTTCCGCGTATAGTGGCCTCCCTGTGTGTCTCTGGGCCCGGCTGCTGCCTGCCGGTACGCGATCCAAATGGCAATGCGCTCACTCACTCTCTGGTGACCCCACTGCGCCCCCAGGCTCCCTCCTTGCCATGCCGACCGGCGTGCTGCGCGCCGACGCAGAGGCGCCCCCGCAGCTCACCACCTTCCTCTTTGCGCGCGGCGAGTGGTGAGCGCGGCGCCCCCCCCCTTCCCACACTTACACACGCAAGCATGGGCGCGTCCGTTGACCTCCCGGGGCTGTGCTTGCGTTTCACACGTCGTTTGAGCACGTCCCTCGCCTTGACAATCGGCGCTGATGGCGATGCCGCTCTCCCTGACCATCTCGTGGCTGCAAGATGCGGCTTGCGCGGCCCCCGGCCCCATCACTGGCCCCTTGCTGCCCTCATATTACAACTGCCCCACTGCCCTTCTGCCCCCCCCCCCCCC